GTCGGAGTACGCGGAGAACTTGCAACAAAAACAGCCGGAGTACACGGAGTACAGACGGAGTACAATCGGAGAACACCTGGAGTACATTTTGGCCTGTACACAGGAGCCGCCAAGTCGTCCACCCTTCGCCGAGCGACCACTGCGAAAACCGAGGCGAAAACGGCCTGTCCGGCGGGAGGCTGCTAAGAAAGACTTAGTTGATTCAGTTTTCTTATGCAACTGAGTCTTTCTTAGTAGCCTCCCGGTGTGTGAATATCCATTCGTACACTTAGAGGGGTAAAGGTGTGAATATTCCTAGAAATTTAACACGTTTACCCCCTGAAGTGTACGAATGGATGTTCACACACCTGCAAAGTGTGCGACATTCAGACACTTGCGTTTCCAGTGTAATGGTGCATGCCGATTAAGTAGATGATGACGCGGCGCGTATTTCAGGTTTTGAGAAAGGCGTTAACTTGAATGTTCTTAGGGAACCTTTGTTCAGACCCCAGTCATATCTTTGCTTTGGCTCGTTTAATAGGGAATTTGACGGTAAATTCGGTGGTGCTTTCGAAAATTAAGTCTGGAAGCTCAGTAAGAAATTATTCCAGAAAAACTGTGCGATATTGGCCTAGTGATCGACAAGCGACATTACTCAGTGAACATTCTTTACGAAGCATTTCGTAAAATCACGAAAACTTTTTAGGGTCAGTGAGAAATGACGTTCAGCAGACCGATGTCGAAAGGAAAATCGAACGAGGTAGGCACATTGTTTTACCGTTTAATTTTTCACCACATAGGTGCGCGGTGTGAACCCGCGTGGAAAACTATGGCATCAGATTGTCATCTGTATGTCATCTCGCCGATGACAAACGGATGACAATCTGATGACAGTCTGATGATAAAACTGATGACATACTGATGACAAATGGATGACAAAACGGGAATCGGCGTTTGTCATCAGTATGTGATCATTTTGTCATCCGTTTATCATCAGGTTGCCATCAGATGACAATCTGATGATCTGATGAACGCGTTTTGTCATCCGTTTGTCATCAGTATGTCATCAGTTTTATCATCAAACTGTCATCAGATTGTCATCCGTTTGTCATCGGCGAGATGACATACTGATGACAATCTGATGCCATAATTTTCCATGCGGGAATCAGCCTCCTATAAATGACTATTGTCACCGCCGGCCCGGGCCGCACCTCCCCAGGGTAACCTTAAATTCTAGATATGATTTCTTGCGGAGCATAATAATGTCACCACAAAATGTCAGAAGCAGAATCTTGGTGGGAGGCAATGAAGGGTGGAATGTTGCAACCCTCCAGACTCACCAACCAAATTGCCATACATGAAATCAAGAAAAATGTTTCACAATTTTGACCATCTAGGAGACAAAAGTAGAGTAACCTTTAGGGTAGATTGGTGGGGGTGGGGGTGGGTGAGAGTCTTGCCAATCCGACGCAGAGCTCAACGCAACAGACTACGCGCAGGATGGGCGGGACCTATAACAACAGGACGAATGTCCGGACGTGAAGGAGGGCCTCAGGGGTGGAAATTGGGACAGAGTGAGGGTGGCCCCGCGGAAGGAAGGGGTGGGGCAGCAGATAGAAATGTCACGGGACGATATCGGGGGCGGCCAGCCTGGGCGTCCAGGTGACCCACATACCACCGCGCGCCCCTAACCTAGAGTCCCACCCGTTGCCTTAGGGTTGCGTGGACGGACTATACTCTCTCAGGAATCCGGACAGACGATTGAACAGCTGACGGTGGCACAGAATATCATGTATCGATACATGATAATACCGTACAAATACGAGCGCAATTTTTTATTAGTTTACGTTCCCAACTTTTCAATTGCAGTTGCGCAGGGCACTGACAAAAATGACACCTCTGAATCCTCTTTAATAATATCAGGCCAACAATTCGATGATATAAATTTTCAAAAGGAATTATTCATCCATGAAACCCCACTAATTTATTTCTTCTAGATTCTATAGGGTTAAACCGATCGCCGCTTGACCGAGGTCAGTCAACCTTGCCGTTGTTTCGCCCACCCCGCCGGATTTAGATCAGGTCGGCCAGTGTGTCGGTCGCTATCGCCGCCGCGTGCGTAACCGCGTGTTACCGACCTCTATTTTTAAGCAGCGCGTTTTCTATTCTCTCTCTCATTCTCTCTCTATCCGCGTGCCTCACCCTCACCCCTCCACCAAATCATGACAATGTCTTGCTAGGACAGAAAAATTGAGTGAAATTCCGTAACCACCACTATTACAGGTACAAAAAAGTATACAATAAGTATGTGGCGCTTGGTGTCCGTCCATTTGAGATCATGTTGACTTTCCGCTTACCACCTGAGGGCCAGCGCCAGCAGCTCATAGCTCATGCTAGAGCCGTTCGTCCACAGTCTATTTCCGACAGTGCTCACAGGTAGGCGGCAGGTACTCGCATAATTACCGGTATAGCATTGACCAGCCTGGTGTCACCTGGTCCTCCTGGTCCCATTGTGCTCAACATTGTGCTGGCGGCGGCACTGCAGCGCGGCCGGGCCGGGCCGGGCCCGTCGCTGACGGTACTATTCACACTCGGAGGTCAGGGTGATCTCATCGCCGCTGCGTGCGCTATTTCGAGAGGAACAGGAGGACCTAGATGAAGTAGAATGTCTGAGTGTAAAGTCGGAACTAATCAGCGCCTCCGAAATATGATGTGCATCTTGTGCAAGTCTGGTACTGGTCGGAGCTGAAACGTTTGGGGTTCATGTCCAACATCCCAACAATTCGCTTGGGCTGAATTTTCAAAAAAAGCTGACGGTGCTCCTAATCCAAAAATCTGGCAAAACATAACTGCGCGATAAAATACAAATAATTAATAATTATGACTGATGAAATGAGTCCTCTCGGCACGAGAAGGGCTACGTTTATAATGAAGGGGCTATAGCTTTTGCAGCAGGACCACCACCGACCACCACCCATGACGTGCGCGTGCGCCCCGAGGCACCATAGCGCAGGGAGATGGAAAATTTATTGTTTCAAGAAAGCATTTGCAATTTGCGCACTGTTTGAACAGAGCGAGTTTGTGTTTGGGGGATGGCGAGAGGGGGAGAGAGGTTGGAGGTTAGAGCCGAAGTCAGCTGATTTTCCCGCGACAGGCGCGCACGGCCGCAGAAAACGTTGATGCAGACGAAGAAGGAAGGGTAAGATAAACACCGCTGCAGGCGGCAGAGCCGCGTGACGAGGATGGATCTCTCTCTCTCTCTCTCTCTCTCTCTCTCTCTCTCTCTCTCTCTCTCACTCTCTCACACACACACACACACTCACTCACACACGCGCGCTCATGCCGCGTGCGCCGCGATGCTCGTCAAGGATCAATCAAGCAAAGCGGCGACAAACGAGCGACAAACGCAGCAAAAATGTGACAATAGTCGAGAGAACAACTGATGTAGCCTGCTTGGGGTAAGAAACGAGGGGGAAAAAAAGAGGAAAATAATTAGGAGAAGCTTCTGGATAGGGGCGCTCGCTGTCTTGGACCAGGCCTGCATACAGTCAGCAGATGTTAAGAGGTACTGTACGCCCAATTACACATACTACCAGTGCGGCGCGTGAGCTTTTTATGAATGGACCCCGGGGAACAGCTGACGCCTGGCGCTCAATGAGCCGGGCTCGGGGCTCGCACTACCACCGGGCCGTCATGAGCACGCGATTGTGGAAATCCACGAGGTTAGGTTAGGTCGAGCCACGGGGAGGACAGGGACGTCGGTGTACAGACAGCTTCGCTTGCTGGGCTGCACCAACATGATCAGGTCGTTGTCTCTCCCCGGTCTCTCTTCCCCCTGCAGCAGGCGGCTGGCTGCTGGTGACCCACCGGATGGCAGAGAGAGAGAGAGAGAGAGAGAGAGAGAGAGAGAGAGAGAGA